CCCCCCCCCCCCCGGCGTTTATAAGAAGAAGTGGATCTGTTAATGTTGCTCTTTTCATGTCCGCTTGATTGGGGTTGTTCGATTTTACAATTTTTGTTTCGAAATGAAATATTTTTGTTTTGGCTCTAGGGAAACTAATTGGAGGCAAATAACCCGATCTAGTACCGCTATTGTTAATTTGGGGATGGTTTTCCTTTAAAAATCTATGGTTGCATTGCCTGTGCCGGCATTTATCCGAGGACGAAAAGTTCCTTTTCTTTAGCATTGGTGATAGTTTTTCAATGCATAACATTTCCTTCGTTTGGTAATTGTAGATTGCTCCATTGAGAGAGCAACAGCAAGCAGCTATCATTGCACTATCTCATGCTGTTGCTGAGCGACCTTTTCCTCCCAACTTGGTGAGTCTCCCTGTACATTAGTTAAAACATGATACTCCAGTGTTGGCAAAATAGATGACTTTTGAAATTTATTTTCTATTTTTTCTTTGTAATGAGGAAAAGAAGCAAGTTGTGAGACAGGAAAATGGTCTAACCATTTCGACCAAGCTCTTCACTGCTGAAGATTCCAGAGCTATTGAAACTGTCTTGGTCAACACGAACCAGGTTTGAATATATTTCTTGATCATCATATGTTCCTGATATATGTGGCTCAGAACGCTCAAAATTAGAAAAGTCATGGAGAATTTAGAGTCAATTTTAATGAAAGCAGTTCGAAAGTTAATCAAGAAAATGGTCGAGGAATGAGGAGCTATTCTTTAATCTTTTAATTATCTCCCCTGGAGTAACTTATGTTGATTGCATAGAATAGAATATATTCAGAACTTCCAGAATGTACCATTCTTTCTTTTTTGGATGAAATCTTGCCCTGGAGGAAAAAATCTGTTTGAATATAAAGAAGCAATAATTAGAGAAGAAAAACTAAATTTGGGAGAAGAGAGAATGTCCAAAAAATATTTTTCCCATATCGGGACTTTTATATGTAGTAAGTACAAGTATAGATGTCACAAGATTTTGAAAACAAAAAAATCGAAGTTTCGAAAAGATTGAAAGCTAACCATGGTCTTTGAACTAACCAGCATAATAAATAAATAAATAAAAACAAAAAATTTAAGACTTGCTAAACAGGCGTTTAAACCGAGCCGACAAGGCCCAGTTTTGAGGCAGTCTGAGGCCAACACAATTTAATGGTAAAGGCAGGCCATGCCTAGACTGTGTCAACCTGTTTGAGCCTGTAAAATTCAACTCATTTTGGCACCTCTAATCAGTGGTACAGGGCAGACGGACCTCAAGTAAACTGATCTTCCTTCCCTACTACCCAGCCTTCATACTTTCAACTCCAACCAACATCTACCATAAAAGAAAAAAGAAAAGAAATCTAACCAGGGGAGGATCAAAGCCAATAATCAAGAAATAAATACCAAGAAATTTAAGAAAGAAATATCTTGAATACATACATGACCTTAAAGTACAATTGACGCTTGAAAATGTAATCAAACGAACAGATTGCGCGAATTTTCTTGGCACAAAAAATAGCCTTCTGCTGCTAGGTATAAAACAGGTATATGCCGAGGCATTTGCCTAAAGAATTGTGACTAAGAAAAGAAACAGACATCTTGAAATAGAGGTGTAAAGTTTTATGCTATCATTTTATGGAGGCTTCTTCTGAATTTTCTTCTATACCTAGCTCCGATTAGGCTGCCCCCGGAATGATCACTGATGAAGACCATTGCTCAGGCACCATTAGAAAATAGGCAGACATAGCTTTCCTAAACCGTTTCTTGTATTGCATCGGAGAAATTACTGTTGGAGACTCATTTTTGGGTCCTCCAAGGATGCCTGATGCCTTCACCCACGTTTCAAGATGCTTGTCCCATGTATATTGCCTCATGAAATCAATAATACCAAGCACCAGCTCATGCTTTTCCTCATCCACACCAACGAGTAGTGAGTAGTCCATCACATCTATTGACTGTAGGAGCATCATAAATAAGACTACATTAGCATGAGTCCAGAAATTACACAAATTAAGAGCGTTGGGAATGCTAATTGTATAATATATTTGTAATCAGAATCTCGAAACAGAAATACTTGAAATTCCTCTAGCAGTCTCCGTACGAGGATTATTAAGGGAAACGGTGTTATCAATCCAGTCAAACTATTAACCCCACAACCGTGTCAATGCAATGGAAGTGAGAATGGCCCCCCAACCTAACCAACCCATCCCAAGAAAAAATAAAAATAAAATCAACCCACTTGAAAATCTAGACTTGGGGTTAACGTGTTTGGTAGCATGACAGTAAATTAATCAAAATCTTACAGCAAGAAATGAAGTATCATTCCACACAGCTCTCTCCAACAACCGTTTTGCCTTCGTTCCCAAGAAAATTGGAGAAGTAGGCATTGCTTCGATGAGGTTTTGATCCAGCAGAACTTTATTGCTTCCACTTGAATCTGGATTATACCGTGATCGAGATGATCCTTTAAGGTCATATAGTCGCTTGATGTTGCGCTTGAAAAGAAGATTCTCCATCACCAAAACATCCATTCTTGATTCTTTCCCCCCTTTAAGATGTTTTGATGTAACCTTTTAAGTGACCACCAATCACCCAAAAAAAGATTAGCTAAGTATGATTAAATAAATTCTTAACATAACGTGCAAATTTTTTTCTTAAAAGAGGCACTGGAAATTCCATAAATTAAGATGGAAGTTTTATGAACTCAACTTCAAAATAATTTGGAAGATTAAAAATGAGCAAATAAACGAAAATCATGAAAAGTATCTGTTAATGAAAAAACTACGTGAATGAAAAGCTTCATAAAAGCTAATACCTGATAGATGCCTAAGATCTTTGCCAGGCAAGTGGGGCATCCAGTTCTTACAGATTCAGATAAATACTTGAAATAATCTGGTGCAAATTTAATGAATGACTCTAACTCAGTCTTTGTCACCTGTTTGATAATAAATCGATCATCCAATGTTTTGGCAAAGAAGACATTGCTCTTGCCACCCTGTGCACCCCACTTTTTACAGCGATTAAGAGAGCGGATGAAATCTAACTCACTTGGGCAACAAGTCCGTCTCAAGGCCACAAATTGCTTTGCAAAGTAACAAGTCACAGAATATTTCACCTTCCCCTGAGGACCATCATCTGGAAAATGTACTCTTGCGTGTAAAGTGTTTGTGAATAAAAGGGGGTCCAAACTTGAGAAATTCAGAGACCCAAAATTGGATAAGATGCTCTCATCAGCAGACGCAAGACTCTGTAGAGATTCAGATGCTGCATCGCTAAAAGATTGGAGTGCAAGTAAATTCACTGAGTCCAAGAATGATAACGAAGTGGAGGACTCCACAGAGTTTTTCTGCTTTCCAAGTTCCTCAGACATGAAGTTTTGGTATTCTGGGGAGACAAGGGCATATGAAATGATGCTAGTAGGCTCATCATCAAAAACTGGCACAACAGTGTCTTCAGAAGCCATGGGTAGCAGCAACCTAATGCCACCTTGATGTACCAACTCTTGCAATGTTGAGATATAGGCAGGATTATAATCACTAATCTTACCAAGTTTAAATGCATTTGTTGAAGAATTTTTGTTGAATGAGTAATAAAAAGTCAAAAATGGCATTCTCATCCAACTACTGGGATTTTCGAGATCGTTATGCCCCTTTACAGATAATGCAAATCCATTTCCAGGAGTCACTTCAGCCACAGATCGATCATTTGTACCGTTCCCAACACCAGATTCTTCCCTGGGTGATATCTTGCCAGAAAAAGATACTCTGGGGAGTGAATCAGGAAGTGAAATACCATCTTCCTTAGAAGCTACAGTTGCAATCTGGTGATCACCAGTCCATGCAGTATCTAAAGTAGCAGATGAAGATTCCAGCTCTGGGAATCCTCCTTCTGATTGAGCCCTTCGCACAGTTTTTCCAGATTTCTGCATGTCTGACTGATTAATTGTATTTGTGTCAGAAGAACAAGAAACATCAGCATTTTTTCTATGGTTCAGAATTCGATTTATGTCCACCCCTCTATGAATCTCATTGAGCAAGTTATTTGGGCTATATCCTACCTGAGTTTGCGTCATATCAATTTCCATACTTGAAAGAGAAGAATGAGAAGAATTCCAGCTGCTGAAGCCTCTGCTAGCCCTGGAAGCTACATCTATCTCACTAGGCATCTCTCTAGAATTGACAAACTTTTGTTTAAGCTTTGATCCATGTACATCAGATTTAGAAATATGTATCAACCGCTGGTCCCAGACATAAGAATGAAAAACTAGCTGCCTTCTTAATCGGTTGATCTCGAGAATGTCAATTGCAGGCTGTTCAGCTTTAACCTCCTTATAAAGCATGTGCTGAAATGATTCCTATACAACATGACTTTAATTAGAGAAACAGATTCCAGAAGTGAATAATCATGTTCCTGCATCAAGTTGGCAAAACAGAATCCATCTTTTTGACAGTTAATTCACACCCAGTAAAAATCGGAGAATACGTAATGCATCCCAGTCTAGGTTCTCATGCCAAAACATTAGCTCAAGAAGCAGTAATAACAAAAAGTTATCGAAAAGAAATAACATTAGCATACAAACATTGTAGAACTCATATTTTACCCTAACTTAAAGAAAGAAAAATAAAATACCAGCACTTCAATTCTGTTAATGAAGTTTAAATTATCACATAAAGAACTATAAAGTTTGTCTGGTATATTGGCAGAAATAGTCAGGGAATGTTCAACAAGAGAACACCTCAAATTCTTCCTTCTCCTTCTGCAGCATGACTTCTAGTTCTGAAATCTGTTCACCTAATTCAGGTGCTTCCATGCTGGACTTGTTCGAGTTTTTTCCTGACATCTGATGAAGAATTTTCAACACCTCAGAAAAGAGCAGATCTGCCCTGCTGCTAACCTGTGTTATGCAATATATAATCACTCTACAAGAAATGTAAGCTACGGCAATGAGGCAGACGAGTACATAAATTTAAATAGTTTCACCTCATCAACTTCTTTGCGTATCCACTCCTGTTTATCATAATTAAATTCGAGCTTTGAGGGTGGGAGGTAGACAGAGAGAACATCAATTGGTGCATATCGAAAACATGCAACCATCCTCCCCAAACTGCACATCAAAAACAGCAAAGTAATTGAGCACTTAGACACCAGAAAAACAAAAAAAATAGCCGATAAGCATAACTTTGGACCTTGGTGAAAGAATAATGCAAGCAAAAGCAGTCAATCTCTGCATTTATTTATGTAAAGAATTAACATACAGACAAAAAGCTATTTAACCATCGGCGCTAAGAACTCAAGTAGGTACACAATCCCAACTCGACTAACAGCTAAAAACACATCAATTCAAGGATTTAAAATGAAAGAACAGATCCAAAATGCCTAATCGTGTGCAATAAGATAGGATATATTTTGTTGTAGTTTTGAGGAAGTCCATGTCAAAAGACAAACAATTAAGGATCGGACAGAAACACGAGCATGCAAGGAATCTTAACTAGATAAACAGTCAAACAGAAATACAGCAAAGTAGAACAAGTTGCTGAAAGATAATTGGCATTCCAATTAAAGTGTCGCCAAAAGCTTATTTACCAGCATTATATAGAAGGATTACCTTCAAGAGACAAGAATGAGCACTGTACACGACAAGATTAAGAATTTTAAATTCTATTTGATGACGATGCTAATGTTTATATCACAGACCATTTTCTTCAGTTCGACATTTAAAGAATTTGGAACATGAATATTAGTTTACTCATCAAATTCCTGACAATTTTTATCATCAAAATATAATGAGTAACAATCATGTTGTGAATTTCAGTAAATTATCAATTGTAAGATTTCGGCTTTCACTCTTTTAATCAGTCCTTATAGAAAGGCCAACCAGTTACATCAGGCCTTGAGCACAGTGTTGTAATGGACTGAGATAGATAAATGCATACCCATAAAACCGGAGGCAATCTCTATGCAGGGAATGACCACAGCTTGCAACCCTGCTTGCAGAAGCATGGTTTGAAAAGCTAAGCTCCAAAAACTTCCCAAAAGATAATCCCCAAGCAGCATCCGACATGACCACTCTTTTTGTGGCAGGAGGGAAACCATTGGTCCTAGGACACCGTAGACATCGGTGCCACATCCAAATTTTTCCTTCTCGTTCACCAGGCAACAGGAATTCTAGAAGCTTCCTTACAGAAATGGTAAGGCTGCCTTGTTGATGGGTATAGCAATGAACATGAGCTTCTGATGGCATTTCACACGAGCGGCACCGGTACACCTTCAAAATAGAAATCGAATACTCAATTTCTGCATAAAAAAATATGCAGACATATGAGCGAATACATGCATTTGTGTAGAACGCGAGAAGTACCTGATCAGACAAATGGTCTAATAGAAACCGACCCAAAGGCTTATCGAAGCTTCCGTAGTATTTGATACGAAAGAGATGGGCACGTTCACACAGAGTTCGTTTCCACACACAGTGTGTTGACAAGGAGACCAAAATGCTTTGATGATCTAAAGGTGAGGGGGGGAACTCTTCTTTCAAAGATCCTATCTCCTTGAGTTGATGAAGATTATGCTGTCCCGAATATCCATCCAAATATCCATCAACATGAGAACAACTACAAGTTTGTCCTGAATTCTCAGAATTGAGCAAACAATTACAAACTAAATTATCTATACTTGCCTTTTCATCAATATGATCTGATGACATTTTAGAGACAAAATATTCATTGGGAGCCATCCCATTGTTCTCCTCAGAAGCATGGTCAGCATTGACCTGGGCCTGCCAATGACCTGGGAAGTTGCACCTTAAAGGATATGGCTTACATTTGGTATTTAAAATTTGAGCATTAGAAGCTTCAGAAAGAGAAGATTGTGCCTCAGCCATGGGAATAGTTTTTGATGATTGTGTAATATCTGGGAACAGGTCATTTCTGGATTGAAATGTTAGATAGTCTGGTGATTTAGGCCCTTGAGGCTTTTCCTTAGCAGTCACAGCAAATCCAGGTATTGTAGAAATGGACCTATCAATATTTGATGGTTTATCGGGTAAAGCAATTTTCATTGGAGACTTCAACGGGAATTCTGGCAGGGAAGCACCTTCATCAGCAAGAAAAGATGTCTCCAACGCTAAGTGATAAGCAGCAAAAACACCATACTGGATTACATGTTTAACTTTCTTCAACTCATCTCCACTGGCACCTTTAAGAAGAATCTAAAGCAAAACATTCAAAGATGGTATCTTAATTACCTTCTGAAATTGGCACGTAAAGAGGCAAAAGTTAGATATAATGGGTAAGGATAAACATTCAACGGAGACCAATTACACAATAATCCTACTCGATTTTCAACACCGTTATCTAGCAGTTTAAGCTAGAAACAAACTTCTGAGAAATTGTCATTTTAAATCTTCTATATATTAAAAGTGGCTATGTAACGGAATTTCTTGTTTTTAACGGAAAAACTAAAGGAATTTGTTGTTTTAACGGACTATGTAACGGAATTTCTTATTTTAAATAGGCAGCTGCACATTCCTTCAGTATTTTTATCATAACTTTGTATTCCGATATACGATTGAGGCGATTCAAAATGCGTTGGAAAGCTAACTCATTTGGCTACAACTTTGATTCAGACATCATTCTCCAATTCGATCACTTTCTATTGCAAAAATAGGTCTCAATATGAGACTAAAATATCGGAGTATAACTTTTCGATTGGAAATTGATTTGTGATCATTTTTTGCCTAAATTTGATTCCATTGACGTCTTCCTTTATCCAATTGACTCCGAGCACTCTCAAATCTTCATCGTGAGGTTTGGCACAACTTTTAAGTATTTACATTTTAGTCCCCGAACTTTGGATCCCTTACAATTTAGCCATTTCTCCAAATTTGTCAACTTTTGCTTATTTTCTTCGATCTCACCAACTTACATCACAACATCAAAATCACACATCTAATTATTTATCAATTACATAAACATTACATCATTAATTATTTAATTAACCAAAAAAATTACATCTTTATTAATAACAAATTAATTCTTAAACAAAACTATTAAATATAAACTACGCAAACGTGCATTACACATTGCTTGCACCTAGTTTTATATAATATTACTCTCCATGCATAGAATGTAACTTTGTATGTTGTCAAATCCTAGAAATCACACCATCAAGTTAGTTTCGTATTCAGTCGATTTTTGTTCTCTAATTAAAGTTGCAACTCATTCAAAAAAAGGTTTAATAGTTAAATATTTTCTTCTACAATTCTACATGGTATTATGATCACAGCCTAAACCCATGCCCTTCAACCCTGGTCTTACAAGTCAAATGTCCCAACATAAGATCCTTCCACTGATAACAAAAACTAATTCTACAAAATAAAAATGGAATAATTGACAGCTCGCATGCTCCAAATGTTGAATCTGTGGAAGGAAATAGAGTAGTGATCATATTCATGATATTAATGAAAACTTAGACCTGCCTATTGCTCTATGAAAAGGAACTCGAGCAACATCTGATGTCTCAATATGTTTCTTTCCAGAACTTATTGCCTTCTTTTCGAGTTTTTAACACAGATATAATCCCTTAATACCCCAGCTACACTTTCAGAAGCTTGGAAGAAAAAAGTCTGGAGAGAAGTCATGGATGAAGAGATCCTTAGAGAAAAACCAGAGTTGGGAGATAATGGAGTTTCCAAAAGGAAAAAGAACAGGAAGCTATAAATAGATCTTTATCATCAAGTACAAGGACAACTGCTTCTTAGAGAGGTACAAGGCTAGTCTGGTCGACTACCAAGAGACGTGCACCCATGGAAAATACGAATACCATCCGAATTTGTTGTCACTAGTTGCATATCTGGGCTGAACTTTCCAACAATATGACATGTAGAAAAAATTCCTTCATTGTGACCTCAATATAGAAGTATCCCTCTTGGCTATGAGAAATAATCATTAAAAAGGAAGGCATGTAACTTTCAGTTATGGTCTCAAACACTCACCTCGAGCTTTGTCTGGAAGATTTACAATGGCCATACTGATGAAAGGATTCTTCTTAAGTCAAGGTGATAATACCCAACATTCGACTTTGATCGTCTACGTGGATAGATGACATAATTGTGACAAGGGATGATCACGAGAAATCGTGGTTCTTAAGGCATATTTGGCAAATGAATTCGAGATCAAGGACTAGGGCTAGGGCTAGGACTAGGAAAAACTTATATACTGCATAGAAATCGAGGTAGCTCGATCTGGACCAGGAATTTTCACTTCACAAGATGTATATTTGTTAACTATTTAAAGAAGCTATACGCTCAATGCAGGCCTGTAGAAACTCGTAGAATGTAGAGCTGTAAAATATAATGGCAGATCCCAGAAATCAGTTCACTTAGTCAGTTTACTATTGAGTCACTTCCTGTACTCTATTTAAAGATATAACTTATTCAACGAAAGGTAAGAGAATTGAATATTTTCTCCTACAACTATAATTACTCATATACCGTCTCCTCACATGTAATTCCGTAACGGAAAATATAAACTTCAAATAATTTGCAGAAGCAACTAACAAAAACTGCTGCATGATTTACAGCGTCAAGTGGTCCCACGTACGCATTAGTTGCAAATAGCTCTACAGGAAGTTCTAAATTTCCATTCTAAAACTCAAATATGCATAAAAAAGAATCTTTGCATGCAATTAGGGAAACTGTTTCGAAACTTACAGTACATCCCAGTGGCTTCGGGCAGCCTTCAAAAAACATTAGTGTCCTTGTTGAATTCTTTTGACTTTGCCAAGCACTTCCACGTTCTTCCCAGAACCTTTCCACATGAAATGATTCACAATATCCCAATTTCGGAGCTGTAAGATGATCAATTGAAGGAACAATATCTGCACCTGTGCAGCGGGCTATACGCTCTAAAAGCGGTCTCTTGACATTAAGAACAAGAGATATGTCCTTAGAAAGAAGATAATCTTGTGCATATCGAGATACAGATTTTTCTACCAAAAGAACATTGGGATGGTGCGCATCAATCTTTGCAACAGCCATTTTCAAATGGTCCATTTCCTGAAACAAGCACACACCCATAAGAGCAATAAACCAATATATCACTAAAATGCAGGTAAAATGAGCACCAAATACAAAGAAACCAAAAAAGATATCTCCGCATTAAAGGCTTAAACAAGCATGAAAAATAAAAAGTGGTTTATAATTCAGAAACCAAGAGATGACATAGAGTCCAATCACAACCTGCTGCAATAAAGTATCAAAACTTGATAAGTGGTTAGCAACCCGTTGGTACTCCAGGGCACCACCAAGCAGCAGTAGTCGTGCTTTATCTACTTTTGAAGTCATTCTCCGATGAGCCACATTTTTCTTGCAAACAACCCCTTTAACTACCATACTGGTGAAAAAACAATGAGAATCTGATCAGAATGGCAAAATAGTAGATGGCGCCCATATTATACACACATTTATGAAGCAATGCTTGATCTCAGTTGCCTTGAGTCAGGAACTAGGATCATTTCCTTCCAGTCTTCCCCATTGAGGTCCAGAACTCTATACTTTTATTTTCTTTTTTGAAACTCTACAAAATTTCATGTCCAAAACACACAAGCAAGATTGTGGCACACTCGGAAACAAACTTTACTTCCTTCAACACAAAGAATCCAGTAACTTTTGAGCCACTCAACTAATTTATAAGTGAACAGATCACATTTTTTGGAGTGATTAAGAAAATTAGATGGAGTCCCAAATGCATATCATGTTGGTTAAATTGGCTTGTAACTTGTAAGTGAAATGGTATGCAAAGTCAAATGAAGATACCTGTCATTCCGATGTCCACAAGCTATGCATTTAACCTTCACATACCCTCCAGGATCCATACCTCCCCCCATTCTTGTATCCGGCTTTAAAGAAGTAGCAGCTTCCCAGGATAATGTAGTAATAATATCTAGCCAACTTTTCTGAATATTATCCTCAGTTACAGGTAGATCCTCAACCTGCAAAAGTTGGGTTATTAAAGCTCTGAAATGCCCTTCAACTATTTTTTTCATTGCCTTCCGGTGTTCCTCATTTGATCTATCCCTACTTCGGGATTCCCCACTACCAAAGCTACTTGAACGTAGGTAACTCCACTCTCCAGTAGAATCCTCACGAACACCATCATCGTCATCAAACAGAAGGGGTTCTCTCTCATCCTCTTCATCTTCAGGCTCCGGAGGATGCCAAAGTAGACCATTATCTTCATAATTCACAGGTTCAACATCTGTACCATTAAACTGATCTAAAGGAGGCTGTCCAGACTCAATGCCATGATTCTGTTTATCTGTTTCTTCCCCAACCTTTTCCACTTCATCCAATTTCTGTGTCTCAAAATTCTCAGGCAATAGATTGGAATTTATACGAGTTGGATCAGCGCTTTCCGAATGAGGTTGCACTTCATGAGGCTTATAGATGTTATCAATCTCACCATAGTTGATAGCACCATAACATATGTCAGCATGAGATAATGGGTTTACTTCAGAATGTGATCTGTATATAGAGTAGTCATCGTCCTCTTCATCACTCCTATATTCATCAATGAAGCAATGAGCAGGAAATAAATATTACCAGTATTTGACAAGTACTAGCGACACATTGGTCCATCAAAGATAAGTTTCAATAAATACGAAAATTTGCATACATGTAAAACAATGCAACATCTCCTAAAATCATACTGGCAAAGAAGTAGTCAAGGTAAAATTCGTTAGTGAATGAATTTGAATCACCGTCAACACTTACCCCAAAAGTAAATAACCCGAATTATCCCCATTTACTTCAGGTTGCAAAGGGATTTTGCTGAATACTTTCGAATAGCAGTGTTAAGTAAAATATCACTTCATTCTAATTGAGTTTAAAGAAACAAGGGCAAAACGTTATTTAAACAATTCCATAGGATAGGCAAGACTGAACCAAACAAACTGAGTCAGTGTAATGCTATGATAATGCTGTTCTCTTGACTCAAATATGTTGTGGAAATACCTGCTGGGTGATTCAAACTGGTCATGGAAAATATCCCTTGCATCAATGTTTCCCAAATTTCCAGGACTTGTTACCAGATCTTGCTTGAATGAATTTGAATCCGTTTCAGCAAAATGACCAGAGCTATGACAAGCGCTATATGGAACATGCTGGAATGACCCTGTAGAACATGCAGCTGAACCAGCACTGCTATTGCTGTTACAGGTGTGGCAACTAGATTGAGTGCTGACCAAACTTGTAGTGGAAGAAGATGGACTCAGTCGCGGACTTGATGAAGTCATACCATTACCAGCAGTAGCAAATCTTTGCTCCCACTCCTTGAAACAGTAATTACAAACTCTAACTCGATCCCAGTCTTCCCTCACACTCCTAGGTTCATAAGAGAGGGCAGGAACAGAGTTCGCAGTGCACCTGGCACAGAAAACCCGTCCACACAATCGGCAGTGATGTCTACGATTGAAAATGGTGAATTGAGAATCACACTCGTAGCACACTCGGCAGCTCTCATCAGGCATCCAAAAATTCCTGGACATATCCATGTGCTCGGGCCTTCGCGGAATCCATGATTTCACTATGTCAACTATCTCGGAAAATTTATTATTATCAGGAGTACCCATGAATGTATATAAAGTGATACATACTGATACCTATCAATTGATCATCAGCCCTGGCCTATCTAGGTAGATTTCCTAGAAAATCCATGAAAAGGTATCAACACATGTAAAGATCCCTTGAATAATTATATACTAAAAAGTTTAACTGGAAACAGTATAAACAGTGGGCGAGCACCAACCGTACAAGCAAAAAAAGGAGAAAAACAACAAATTGAACAAATTACAATTTTAGATAACCTCGGCCACCACAATTTTATGAACTATGGTAGTTCTTCATATAATATTGGGGGAGGACCAACAATTGAGATAATTCAAAAAATAAAAATCCCCAGAAACAATTTCTTCAAAATTTCATATTCAGCCAAACATTAGTAATACTAATTATTCTTCAAATTTTCACACACCTGCACGTGGATGATATGTAAATGGAACAAAATTGTGGTTCAGGAGAGTCCAAAATTAAAAATAGAAAAAAGAAAATGAAATTGTACAGCTTAAATTGGAGCATTTTTAGCGGTGCCTGAAAATTTATACAAACAAAAAATTAATAGCAAAATAAAAAATTTGAGAAAAAAAAGGGAAAAAAAAAATTGGTTAGTATGGGATTCACGAAATTCTTATGAGGCGTCACAGACATGCGAAAGCGACAGTGAATACCTCTTCTTTCTGTCTTCTTCTCTTCTGTAATTCACCTGCTTTTTGCTTCTTCTTTTTTGGGTTCAGATTGCAATTAATAAAATTAATTTTCACATGAAATTCGTAAATAAACCCCGCCACACTCCATTGCTAAGCCGTAACTGTCATTTTATGCAAATATTACGTGACCAGTTAAGGATATGAAGTAATTTTATAGATTTTGATTGTGTGGAGATGAAACGTTTGGACTATAATTCCATATTATTGGGACAGATTAGTGTCGAGCCCCTACTCTTTCATGTGTTATAATTATGGATCTTCACTTTTCAAAAGTAAATCTTTAGGTTCTTAATTTTATTTTAATATGTGAATTTGAATCTTGCATGATGGAAATAGTCACTGTGAATGCGACTTGTAGTTCAACGGAAGAAAAAAATTTGAAAAGATTTGATGATTCTCCAATTCAAAGAAGGGAAGGTTTCACTCGTTTAAGGATATATATTTACGCTTTAAATGGATTGAGAATTCAAAATCGTTGTTTTAAAGTTTGAGGACTCACGATCATACTATGAAAAAGATTGTAAAGAGAGTGAATGTAAACTATTTCTCCATAAATATGCTAACAAAATGAGTATTGAGAGTAAATTAAATTTTAGTGATTTGATTGGGAAATATTAGAGTTGAATGACCTAATTAAAATTTCATCTTTAGTTATTTTTCTAAAAACTAGGTGCAAGCAACGTGCAATGCATGTTTGCTTAGTTTATATTTAGGT